GATCGTGGATGGGGATCAACACCAGATCGTGCTCGAAGAGGTTGACCTGACGCGTCCACCTGCGCACACCCTGGTAGCCCGTTCCGGAACCGAGTTTGGCGTAGAAGAAGGTAGACATAACAGCCACTCGAGGCAGCGTGTAACCCTCGGCTTTACGCACCCGCTGACTGCGATGGAATAGCAGCTGCATGTAGAAATTGATGACCTGCGCAAGGAGGGAGAGAGATGCAACCACGTCAATTGAAGAGAAGAAAAAAGCACCCAGTACTTGTCAAGGTCATGCGTTTAATGCGATTTCAGTCGCCTACCATGTCGCTGAGCCAATTGGTGGAAGTCAAGGTCATTAACTCTCGCCGAGTGACTGCCAATCGGAAGCTGTTCACCAGTACAGTGTCCGGCCCCGCAGAGCGCAGGATCTTTTGAACAAACTCGAGTTGACTGTCTGAAAGAACTGCAAACGAAACACACAAAAATTAGGCGACTGCGGCGGCCAGAAAGGAGGGAGGGGGGAGTCAGGTTGATGCAGAGTGCAGCTTACCGGGGAGTGGCCGTTTGGTCGGTGGTCTTTTGTAGGGCAGCTCTTGTGGTATCGGCTGTGGTTTCAGGTAGGGATCCTGCAAAAGGGGAGGCGTCTGCAGGAGGCAGGCTAGACGGCTGCTCAGGGCATCGATTTTGGCTCTTTCAGCAGCCTTTCTCTAAATTAAAAAAAAATAACGGAGAACACATATATCGACGTGCTGGTGTGCAGGAAAGACAGTGAGGAACTAAAAAAACAGCAGTTAACAGGAAGGCGACGAATGCCCATCGTATTCTGAGTTACTACAACAACTGCCTTCCCATGTCGCACAAACGCAGCTGCGTGCGAACGCTATATCGCCGAGTATAAATCCACTGCAGCGAACCAACCGACAAGAAGCGCGGAGTCCAGTTTCTGCGGAAACTTTTCACGATGAATGAATATCCTGGCATATTCATCGAAAAATGCAGGCAAGAAGCCAAACGAAAGAAACCAACAGGGCAACCAGAACCAACACGCTGGCGAGCAATACCCTATAGTGCTGGTGTACCTGAAGAAGTCGCTCGACTGGTCAGCGAGTTTGGGATTGGCGTCGCTCACAGACCAGAAGCGACAATCCGCAGACAACTCATGCAGCTTAAAGACCCAATACCCGCTAACCGAAAATCCGGTGTCATTTAT